ACCTAGTGTGTACATATGAAATTGTTTGAATGCAGGTTGTGAACTCATTTACTGATTCTTTTCTCAGATTCAGTGTCATGCCATATTATGCAGCAATAACTAGCTACCCTTTTTGTAATGATATCCATGACTGGTCTAGAATCAGGATCCCCAGGTGGCTTAATGCTGCTCTTGGGAACGTGCTTCTTTTAGGACTCTTAGCTGTAGAAATTCAAAGGCTGTTATAAATCTCAGCTGTCGCTCACCCTTGGGATATATAAACTTAAATTTGCTTAACAAACAGGTCTCTTTGTGTTTCTTGGTATTTCGATTTTATAGAAATCCCCTTAGTAGCATTTAAACATATATAAATGAACTATATAGTAGTGCTTTGTCACATTATTGCAAATCCCTAATTTCAACCTATTTTAGAAGTCATTCAGGGTTATTCACTAAAGTCCAAATGACCCTGTACTTAATGAGGTAAAACCACCTGGCTGCAAATGTGGCCATTTAGACTTGTAATTTAAACACCGAATGGGCCTGAATTTGTTCTGGACTTCAGCCAGACCAAATGACGCCAGAAGATTGAAATCCTGACTTGAATGCTTCAAATCTGGGCCTGGATTTGAAACATCTGGGTACATATTTCAGCATTTAAATATATTCAGCAGGCAAATAATTAGGGCACTAATTATAATATCCTTGGGGAGGAATGTAGTGTTCTTCCACCGATTGGTGCTGGGTGGGGTCCATAACTATAATATTCAGGGGAGAGGACCTAATTTCCCACCCCAGTCCCCACTGATGGGCAGTGGGTTGGGGCTCTCAATAATTATACAATTGGGGTGGGGTTATGCAATGGCTAATCTCCAATTAGTGGCATGGCTTCCCCCAGGTAGCCAGGGGTCCCTAGCCTCCTAGCCACCCCTCATCAAAATTAGGTAGCCCTACCTACCTCCCTCACCTTCAATCTTTCTTCTAACTCTTCCATTTGTGTTCCACCAAAAAGGAATCCATAATTCCATACACATCTAATGAAAATGAAAATAAAAAGAAATATTTGCAAAAAACACAATAAAAACAACTTATCTTCACCTAGGGCCTTGGCACAGGCTGAGCTGGCATAGCAGGAAAATAAATCTCACACGCTACACAATATCAGTAAGAGCACTCTGAATGTTCTTGGTTATTCACCAATATTAGTGAATAACCAAGCATTTGTCTTTTATAATCTCAAAGGGGTCTCTGGATTATATTTTCAGTCATTGTGGATGGAAAAATTGAGGCTTAAAAAATTGATCTGAAAAATAATTCTTCAACTGCTAAAGTCTCAGCTTGTTTTTTTGTTTTTTAGCCTGAATAAGGCCTTTCAGGTTTAGGATTTAATTTATTATTTTTAGATAAGATTTTCAAATAATTTAATATTTTAGAAAGTATTTTAATATTTCCCATATATATATATATATATCTCGATAGATTTGTATATATAAAATATTTTTATATATTAATATTTTGAAAATATTGGTGTTTTTTTTTAAGTTGATCCAAATATTTTAAATAATTTGAAAAGCTTATCCAAATTATTATTTCAATGCCTTAATTCACAAAAATTCTGAGTTTGGAAAATACCCCTGATAAATATAAGTGAATAGAGTTATACTGGTCAGGGGTTTGAACAAATTGAGGACCTGCACAGCCAAATTACATCTACAAGTAAAAATAAATGCAAAGTTACACTTTTGTAAAAGTACACATACATTATAATATTTTGCCAACATTAAAAGAATTTAAGTAAATTATGATTATTTACTAATCTGTGATTTGTAAATAGCTGAAAGGAAATTTCTAATTTTTGACCAAAATTTTAAAAAGTTGAATTGTATCCATTTTAAAACAATTCCAGAATCTTACCTAAAAAAGTTGTCCTAAAGGACCACTTCTGACCCCTAAAACAGAGGAGTGTGTCCTCTTTTTCGATTTTAAAAGAAGTGCAGATTTCAACAGAAATCAACACTTTTATAAATTAATATTGTTACACTTTCAAGCAGATAACTAGCCTAGTTACTCCCTAGTCTGGTTAACTCAGCAGAACTAAACTCAAGAGGCAGGCAATTGCTGAGATCAACTGCCTTGCAAAGACTTATTGAGGTGCATTGGAAAGTCTGTGATTGGTCATCCACATTAAGTCTGGGCTGAGGAAGAAGCTGTTTTTAGATATATTCCCAATGAAAAACTGCAAAATTAAATGCATGGAAGTTTTCATTTTGGGTATATCAAATAAACAGTGATTATTTTTTTTTACATTTTTTTTTTTATTTGGGCAGTGGAGTTTCTCCTTAACAACTGTATTTCGATTAGTTGCATGCATCATTTAGTTCAGAAATGCTTGAGATAATCTCCAAAAGACTGCCTGTTAGTCCAATGAAAAAGTCATACTATGATTATATATTATTTTGCATCTGCTTCACTGGATTAGTATAGCTAATATTTCAACTTAAACACAGAAAGTAGAACGCCACAGCAAGTGCTCATGAAATCAAGGAGAAGCTTATTAGGCAAAAAACAAACGGGTCATAGAATATAATAATTATATTTTAAGAAATAAATGTATGATATCTTCTTCCTGAAGATAATAATGACAAAACCAGTTGATGCTTTCAGCAAGGTCATCGGTGACCTTTCAGCAGACCTGGATAAATTATTTTAAGCACCATAATATTGATCCAGGGAGGGACGCAATTTGCAAACTGAAATCCATAGTGAATCCTCCCATTTAAAGAAAATTAATTAATATTTTTATGTTTCCTTCTAGATTTTCATCAATGCAATCCTTTGTATATGGGTAGGCTTATGGGATAATGCAATTTATCATTCAGTTGTTATGTCAGAGCTCCTGAGAGAAATATTCATTATATACTGTTCAGTTAAAGACCACACCACTTTTAAAATAAGTTATTTGGCTCCTTGTAGGCACAGGTTGAGGCCTTGATTTAATGACTTTGTTGAGAAGAAATAAAAAAAGAAAAACGAAAAAAGAAAGAAAAGAATACCAGATAGTAAATGAATGGGGGTGGGGGGATTCTATGTTGCATGCCAAGACACATTACTACTGATTAAAAACATTGACTGACCATGAGTAAATGCATTATGTGGTTAAAGCTTGCAGTTAATCAAATTAAATAGTCTATAATGACTAGTAGTAAATAAGAAAAATGCCAATTTTCCATGCCCTAACCTCTTGCATATGCACAGTGACTTGATACTATAGCGTTAGAAATATGTGTCCTTATCATTGCTTAGGTAACTGCCCCTCCCTGCACAAATTAAATAGTTTGCTTACCTTTCTATCCAGAGAAAAGGCAGTGTTTACATTACTTTGCCTAGTAACAACTCTAGTGGTAGTCACTCAGATGACCATTAGAGGTGCTTTCTAGAACAGTGCTGCTGAGAGTGCAGCACCTACTTTCAACACCGAATGTCCCCCATAGAGATGCATTTTACTCAAGATAATGATTGGCGGAGCATGGCGTTTTGTGCAATAGTCTCCCTATGGGAAAGCATTAGGTTGACTGAGATCGTCAAATTTGATTATCTCAGTTACAGAGACAGTGCTGGAAGTAGCTGGGAAAAAGGTGAGTTTAAAAACGGTTTTTGCTTGTGTTCCTGACACTATAGTGTTCCTTTTATCTCTTAAGCATGGAGGCAATTGTACATGCTCTGATCAAAACAAAATCAAAACAAATCCTGGAATTTGACAATATGTCTGTTCAACCATAATTTACCTCTTCCATATTAAGTGCAAATACACTTATTATATATCAAAAATACAAAAATAGTGAGAAATTAAGAAAAGTTTTTTTTAGTTCTTCATGACATTTTAACTGTGGATGTCAGAATACTGTTATCTTTTACTGCAATAAAATACATATGTTTGTATTTAGTGATGTCTCACGGGTACAACAGTACTCCCCATGAACAGGTTTTATGGTGTTTTGCAAAGTTACAGGGTCAAATATACCACTTTTCATTTTTCAGTTTATACATATTGAAATTTGCCAGACTAGTTATGTTGCCTTTGAGAGTGCATGGTCAGAGGCGGCTCTCTAATTAAGAGGTTTAGGTGGCTGCCTAAGGTCTCGCGCTGGCTGGGGCCTCGCGGCCGCCTAAACCACCTAAGGTCAAACTGTGTCGGATCCTCGGTCAGTGACGAAGGGCCTGACACCAGGAGGGGGCCCGGCAGCTTGCTCAGTATGCTGCCGGGTGTGAGGCCCCTCCTGTCTGCCCGACCAGCCATCAAAGACACACCAGTCTACAGCTCTGCAGAACTGCAGACCATGTGTCTCGCGAGAACTGGCCAATCAGAGCATTGCCGCGAGTTACCACGGCAAAGCTCTGACGGGTCTGCAGACCAGATGTAATGGCCACCGGACCACCAGGGAATAAAGGTATTTAGTACCCCCCCTCCCTCTCACCATCATCACCCCCTCTCAATATCACCCCCGTCTCCCTCTCAACATCACCTCCGCCTCCCTCTCAACATCACCCCACCCTCTCAACATCCCCTCTCCCTCTCAACATCACCCCTCTCCTCTCACTCCCTCTCCCTCTCAACATCACTCCCTCTCCCTCTCAACATCACTCCCTCTCCCTCCTCAACATCACTCCCTCCCTCATCACCCTCTCCCCTCAACACCCCCTCTCCCCCCTCAACACCACCCCTCTCCCTCTCAACATCACCCCCCTCTCCCTGTCACCATCACACTCCCTCCCTCACACCATCACCATCACGTACTCACACACAGGATCACCCCCCTTACACACAGAGCCTCCCCAGACACACTGTTAGCATGCCCTCACGTCGTCACCCCCAACACTGTTAGCCTCTTCATGCATCCACACTCACATTAACCACTCCTAATCCTGTTAATCTCACCCCCTCCAAACTCACCTGCCCTCACTCTGCCACACTCACCCTGTCACATTAACCCCCCTTAATCCTGTCACACTCGTCCCTCCTATCATGCCACAATTGCCCTGACACACTTACCTCCACTCGCCGTGTCACACTTCCTCACCAAACCATGTCATACTCCCTCTCCCTCATTCCCTCTCACAACCCCCCACCCTGTCCATTTACCCCCTTTGCCCTGTCACACTCTCCCTGCCACTAGTACCCCTTTACTCACCTTGTCACAGTCATCAGCTGAAGGCATTCATCATACACACACACAATCAGGAAACATAGCTTTGCTAAAACACAATGCAAAAAGGCCAAAGGGAGACCCACCATACACATAAGACACTTCAAGCATCTACCCCATACACATATGGTCCCAGATAAAAATGCAAACATGCTCACAGAGACATACATTCACACACACACACACACACACACACACACAAGGATACTCTCTCTCAGACACACTCTCAGGCACATACACAGGTAAACAGTGCATCAATGTGTATATGTGACAGTGTGCATGTATTGCCGCTTTATTTTTTTCACTTTGGTGTTAGTGGGGCCTCATGTTTGAGTTTCGCCTAAGGCCTCATAAAGTTTAGAGCTGCCTCTGCGTATGGTAGCCCAGGAATGAGAATTACCCCCATGCTGGCATACCATTTGCAAAAGTAGACAAGCCAAGGTATAGCAAATGGGGTATGTCCAGTCTTTTTTAGTAGCCACTTAGTCACAAATACTGATCAAAGTTAGCGTTCATATTTGTTTTTTCAAGGTAAGGCCTCCATGTATCAGATATATCCATGTATCATGTATCAGATATCCCACATATGCTAAATCAGATTGAACTATTTGCCATGTTCCTCAAACCATTCCTGAACATTTTTTGCAGTTTGTATTATCCTGCTAAAAGAGGCCACTGTCCTCAGGGAACACCATTAAAGGATGATCAGAAATCTTAATCTAGTTTGTGCCTGACTGAATAGTGTGGCAGTGCATGACCTATTTTATGATATTCATATAAAGTTTAACCATGCTGAAGGAATCCATATGTAAGCAAGGATAATTACTTTACAGTGCTGTTAAATCCAACAAAATGGTAAATATATTACCATTTACTATATATATATATATATTTATAAAGCGCCAACATATTCCGCAACAATATCTGGAAATGATTGGCTATCCCACTAATTATTTCTCTACAAAGACAATTGTTCATACAAAGTATTGACTGGCTTCTATTTTCATAATCAAAACCTGATTTATTCAGTCTGTTTTATTGTTTCTATTACCTACGATTTGTATATGGTTTGCTTCTTTGTTTTTAACAAGCAGATCAGATTTTCTAATCCCATATTTCACTGTGGATTAGATTGTACCATGCAGTAAAAAAACACACTGCATGATTAAATACCCTGTGTAGAAAATAGATCCATTAATCATAGGGTAGCAACAGGACATAAATGCTTCAGACTGCCTGATAGTTACACTCCCAGATTGCACCTACTATTTAGAAATATTTGGAAATATATTTTATTCTCTAACAAGTGTCTTGAGCATATACATGTATGTGTGCATAGGGATTTGGGCTAGTATGCAAGTACCTATTGTCTTAGTTTTTTTGTTTTATGTATTGGGGCTGATGTGTACTATAGTCATTGCTTCCTCCTGGAGTAGTGGGAGTTTGAGTGCAGGACTTAATTTTGTACACAACATTAAAGCCACCTGCCTAATATTGTGTAGGTCCCTCTCGTGCTGCCAGAACAGCTCTGATGCGTCAAGGCATGGGCTCCACGAGACCTCTGTAAGTGTCCTGTGTTATCTGGCAACGGGCACTGTGGAAGAGAGGAACATTTTTTTTATTGATACACATTAAGGTAAAATACTATATTTAAACCTTTTGGATATAAACTATTCAACATGTGAATCCAATATTTCTCTCTGCGTTTTAGGAATTTAGATCTATCTCCCCTTCTCCTTAAAGGTGCCACATGATCAATTACTTGATACCTGTATTATGAAACAATATGATTCTCTACAATAAAATGTTTTTGAACTGGCAGTTCCATTTTCCACATTCATATATTGGATTTATGTTTGGCTAGATGGTCCTTAATTTTTGTGGTAGTTTCCCCGACAAAGATATATCCACATGGACATTTGAGTATATATACACAACAAAGCTAGAATCACAAGTGTAATAGCCGTTTATTAAATATTTTTTCCTCGTGTGGGTGATTGAATGTATTCCCTTTAATAACTGCACAAACTGCAGTTTAAATATTGCTATTTATTTTATTCTTCTCTCATTTAATATATTTTGTTGTTCTTTCTTAGCATATTAGAATATATAGTCACATGGCCTCACTGAGAATCATATGACCACACTAGATGAATTGAGTATTGATGATGTCACCACTATCTAACATGTGTTAGTAATAGAATTGGTTATGTACTTTTGTTCATTAAACATGATTAAAACCTTATTTGGCAGAAACATTATTTTGTTAATGAGATATGAATAAATACAACATATTGCACCGATACATGGCAGCCTGTTCTTTTTGATCTATTACATTATAGAGGGATAGACAGTGCCCTCTGGATCGCACTCTGAATTGGAGTTTGGAGCCTGAGTGCGGTGGCACTTTCTTGAATATTATACGCATACACACACACACACACACACACACACACACCTTATAAAGTTTCACAGACCCAACACTGTGTATGAACCTTTTTCTCTTCTTAATATTGAATAGAGTGCAGATGTAATACCCTTTAATACCAGTGCCACAGAAATTTATAGTATGTGAGAAAGTTCATGAACATCATGGGTTATTTTTCATATTTGGTCATGCAATCTATTCATAGTCACAAAAATATCAAATACATAGAATTGTAGTATTGCATAAACAAAACACTCTTAGATCCACATGCAATATAAGAGTTTACAGTTTAACAAAAATTTACACTTTGTGTGATCTTTGTTGAGCTATTTAATGTTCACTTACTGCTTGCGAATATCTTCACTTCATACAATTTAGTGGTTTTGCTACTAATCCCTCCGTTAAACAGATTAATTTGTGATACATCACTCACTTTGAGAGGTCCTGCTCACAAGAACCATATCAAAAATGGACAAATATGCTTGCTATATAGACTTGGCGATAATTTGTCTGGATATGTGGGCTGAGCAGGGCTGAGCAGGTGATCAATCGAATTCCCTGAGTCGAATCTCAAGCCAAGTGAAAGGCACAATGGCTCAGCATGTTAGTATCGGGTTGTGAATCTGAATTCTGCCCATGTCACCGCAAAAAAAAAGATATGATTGATGGTAAAAAAGGTGAGTCATGACTAGTGGACTGCCACTATATGTTGATTTTATTCACAGATTAAGTAAAAAGTAACAAATAAGAGGGGGAAACCAGGAGCATTAAAAAAAAAAAATCTATATTTATATGTATTAGAATAGAGATTGTAGCGGTATTAGTCCAGTGATGCAGATGTAAAATAACAGATGAGATTAGTATCTTGCAGTACCTCATTGGACAGAATTTTGGAATAATAAGCTTTCGAGAGAACCCCTGCTTCTCAAGTCTAAAGCATTTAGAAATAGAGATTGGAGTTATGTTTTTGTTGATTTTGTTTGCTACACTACAATTCTATTTAATTGTTATTTATATTACCATAAATATATTGTATGAGTGAATACATCAAAGTGTTCATGGTGTTTATGAACTTTCTTACATAAACACACATGTCCAGAAACTCACATTGCTAGACAGGCACACTCATAGAAATGTATGTTGTTTTTAGAGACACTCCTCTTTGAATACTTTTTGCAACAGGAGGATGGATTTCCTGGGGTCTGTAAGTATTGAGCTGTTCCAGGTCTATGGGCTAAATTTTTCCCTACAGCCTAGCTTACTTCATACATTCGGAGGAAATGCTCAGAAGGTGAATGAGGAAGTCAGTACAGCCTAGTAAAGTACTGGCCTGTTGGTTTTCTACAATATTGTCTCATTAGGTGAGGCATACAAGACATCATGTTAATTTTTATTACCCTTTCTTGATATATTGCACATTTAGCTTTTCTCTGTCTTTTCATACAGGTCCCATGAATACTCTGACCTAACACCTCCATAGAAGATATTCCCCTGACTGCATTGTGGTTGTTTCTTCAGACAAGATTTTATTGGACTCTATTCTGGACATTTTTTATTATTATTGCACTGTTTTTTGCTGTACTACACCTTTTTTTAACATTGTTTTTTTTTTGCTCGTTTACTTAGATATTGTGTATACTCATTTGGCGCAACCTTTCTCCCCTCCCCCCCCATTTCTATTGTCTCATTTATGTCTTCCCAACTGGACTGCAAAATATTACAGGACCAATGAGGGCACCAGTGTCCCGTCATTCCTTATACCTGGGTACAGGCTGTAACCTCTGATAGCGACCACGCACCCTATGCTGTAATTATTTGAAAACCTTATCTGTTCTTTCAAATATAATTTGTATGTTTAATCTATTTGCAAAATACACAATGTTGCCTATCACTTTTCTATGGAGCTGTATAACTACCTTTAGCCTACATACTGAATTAATTCCAGCATCCCACATTTTCATATTCCTTTTTACAGAGCGCTAGTATTTCTGCAATAGCATGTTAAATATTTAGAATTCAATACAGGTTTTCTTTCTATTTTCATCAATTTAAACTCACTAATTGTAAATTGTTTAAAAACCTTCATATTTTATTGAAATGCAGAACACATACTTTGGTTGTTCCTTTACAATGTCAGCATGGATATACTACATATATAACTATTTTTAACTTATAATGTAAGTAAATGTCTGAATGTATTATGAGTACCTTGATAGACAAACATGACAGATAATGTTAATTCTAGTATTTGGGCACATAGACGTTTAATATTTCATTGGTTTGTTTTTATGTTGCATATTTTATAAAGCAACTGCAAACAATAAAATGCATTTTGCCATGATAGACAAATGGCTTCACTAAAGAGAGGAATTGTACGCTTCATGCTTCATTGACTCTTTCTCACCCATTTGGCACAAAACGCTTATTTTAGTATTTTTGCACAATATACTGCAAGTATGAATGAATGCCAATACATGTCCTGGATTGATATTTTAAGTCTGTGTTACTTTAATATGTGGCTTCATTCATTAAACAAATTATAATGAATAGACAAAAACTTTTAAAATCTAGATGAAAATAGTTGAGTTGGAAATAATGTACTATATATCATAACTGATTACTCTTCCATTTTTACCTCAACTCATGTTTAGTGAACAAACTCTACAATTAATTTTTTTTAAACAAAATATGTTCTCGTATGCATCAAGTTGTTGTTTTTTAAAATTTAGTTCGTTGTCTTTTTTTTTCGGATGCCTCATTCAAGGATAAAACAATTATCATTGTTATTACGATTATTTATAAAGACCAACAAGTTTGCAGTGTTGCACAATAGGTGGATTACCGAAGAAATAGCTGTAACAAGACAATTTGGATGTACAATTATAGACGGTGCTGAGGTCCCTGCTCAAACAAGTTTACATTCTAAAGGGATTGTGTGAATGTCATTGATAAGTAATGTGCGGAATTTCCAGATGTTGCAGTCAGAACGCATGCCTTCCAACTGTCCCAATTTTAAGGGGTCGTCCAACTTTAGTTTCCTAGTGTCCCGCATTTGGGGTCACCAGGGAACTGTCCACAGCCAGCACAGCACAATCGCATCATCATTGGATGCTCTTGCACTGTGCGCTAGAACAATGCAGGGAGCACTAGAGCAGGTGCGCGCCACCCTTTATTGAGCAGCCTTGCCCATTGTGGGTGTCACTGGTCATACTGTTCGCATCACTGGCAACGTCCACTTAGGACTCGGCTCACCAGTCCCAGTTTGAAGAGGCGCCATAGACAGATGATTTCTTCATATCCATATATCCAGACTTGAGTGAATAAACCTCTAATTACAAACCATCTCCATATTCAATACATTCTGCAAAGAGTAGGAGGACTTCTGTAAATAAAAACTTACCACAGCTAATCTTCATGATGTATTTTAAAGATATATGCAGATAAGGCAATTGTCAAATCCAAGTACTGTCAGCATAAAACTAGTGCGTTAGTGCAATATTTTTTGCAATAACCAACAAATATTATTGAGTTTACTGACACTTTGCAAACTGTAGCCAAAAGCAACAAAAATGTAAAAATCATGCCCAAGTTTTTAATTTTCTGATATACTACAATCATTTGCACAATTTAGTACTTATTTGAATATAATTAGGTAATTAAAATATTCAACCTTTAGACCATGAAACTAGGCTGCGTTGCATAGAAGTAATGATATATTCATCAGTAATTGATGAGTTAAGATTTATGACCTTGAAATGGGTTATGCTCCTGGTAACTAGGGTCACTTTGGTAAAGATTGACTTAAAATATCTTTGCAGCAAACTCACACACTTCAGATTAAAAGGGTCAGAATAGGCACCAGACTACTTCATCTCATTGAAGCGGTCTTGGGGCAGTTCCCCTGTCCCCTTAACCCTGCAATGCTAAGAAATTGAAATATAGCAGACAGCCACTAGGGGTGCTTCCTGGTGTTTCACAGAGTTTTACTCTGTGAAATGATGCACGCTTTGCATGAGGATGTCCAGTGTCTTATATAGGACTCCATAAGAAATGCTTGAAGGCCTAATGCAGCCCTCTCTACACATGGGCATTAGGTTTCAGAATCTGTGTGTCGTCGACGAAGGAGGAGCCTGATCCTGCGCCAAGGGACATCAGCGCTAAAATCAGGTAAGTGAAAAAGGGCTATTAACCTTTTATTTGCCACCAGCGGGGCGCAGAGAACTTCTATAGTGTTCCTTTCACAGCTGTTGTGAAGCTGCCTATTGAAACCAATTTATATTGCCCAAGTTATTTCAATTTGAGTGTGGCTTGAAGAATAGCACACTTGCTAGTAAAACTATAACATATCTGATATTTACTAAGATCCTGCCCCCTCCTTGTGCGGGGCATTAAAAGAATGAATTAACAGATTGATATCCAATCTAGTTGGCAAATTAAAGTATTTCCCCCTACTTAGTGCAGGACCAGGAAGGTTCCCAGCCATTTTGGGGTTAATAATGCAAATCTCCTCACTCACTCGAGGACCAAGGGATTGCCTAGTCTAACTGGGAAAAGTGCATCTAAGAGGTTACTCCCGGCACAAGACCACTTCAGTAATTTGAAGTGGTCATGGTGCTTGGAGTCTGTACTTGCAGCATTTCAGTAAACATTGTTAATACAGAGATAAAGGTTCCAGAGGTGTAGCTTCAGCTCCAGTAGGATTATTAGTACCAACCTAGAATTGAGAGTTCTGGGCTAGCTAATGTTAATTCTGTGCATACAAGGCATCTATCATAGCATGCTGGCAACAGACAACCAATGGTGACATGGACCTAGAAGTCCACCACTCGGTCTCCAATGAAATGGAGTAATGTCACCAGAGGAGGATCAGGCTTCAAGTAATGTCACCAGAAGAGGATCAGGCTTCAGGAAAAATTTGGCCTTGGTGAAGTATTCTTTATTTATGTATGCATTTATTTTATTTTTTAAAGATGGGGTGAACCATGCCAGCATAGCACACTGTTTTTGATTGCAGTAACTATTTAAATTAATAGTAAACTATCATTGGTCTATGATTGGACAGAAAGTCTGGGCAGGGTTAGAAGTGGAGGGCTTGCAAAGGCAGTGGACAAGAGAACTGCAGGTTTTGCAAGTTATTTTTAAATATACCCCCCAATAAATTAAATTATATTATAATAAGTAAACATATATCTACTAAACATTGATCCTTTGGGGGGAAGTGGAGTGTACCTTTAACTCTTAATTTTAAATTGGACAAGCAATGTGATTAGCAGGAATTGCAGACAAAGTTATACATTAATAGCTCGTGCTCACATAGGCTACTAAGATAGGGCATTCTCCAATACTTGACTTGGTGGGTATCTATGTACAACATTAGTCACAAGGAGTTTGCTACTAGGTAGAAAAGTGATTGTGACACTTCTAAAGGTCCAGTGAATTCACACAAAAACAACCTACAAAAACACACACACACACACACACAAAAACATCAGTATATACAAATAAATACATTATAAAAAAACAGTGTCTCTTCAAACCAATTTGCAGTAGGGCATAATCTGAGGTTATGTGGTGTATGGATCTGGATCAGAGTCTTGTGTGTCAGGAAGATATATAGAACTCAATATGAATTGTGACAACCCCTCTGTCTAAATGGTAAATTAACCTTAAACTACTTTTAAGTAGTTTACCTTTAAAGATTCATTTAAAAGTCAGAGTTTAGTGGAAATGACCCACAATTCAACAGTACTGCAATGGTTTGTGTCTTATTATTCACTCTTAGCAGCAACAATGCAGGCAGACAAACCTAAAATCAATCAAATCCAAATACATTTACTTTCATCAAAAATTGTAATACTATGAGTGAAAAGTTGTATTTTATTTAGTGAGTAAAGTTATTAGTATTGAACTACACATTTGTTTTATTGATGCCCCAGACTGCAGTGAAAGAGAATAATGTTTTTTTAATGAGCTTGTAGCAACATTACAGACATAAATAGTATTGAATTCTAAAACTTGTTAGCATAGCTTTAAATGTATGTTTAAATTAAATGAGCAGAGCGCAATTGCTACTGCTTAAAGGGACACAATAGTCACCAGAACAACCACAGTTTATTGTAGCTGTTCTAGTGGCTACAGCCTGTCCCTGCAGACTTTTTAATGTGAACACTGTCTTTTCTGAGAAAAGGCAGTGTTTCCTGTGTCAGTGCTGCACAGTGTGATTCAATCCCTTTCTATGAGGACATGCCGATTGGCGCAGCGTTTTGCTGTGCATGCGCACAAGCCACCCAATGCTTTCCTATAAAAAAGTGTTGAATTGCCTTAGATTGTCAATAGAGCAACACAAGAAATTCTCCAGGCACTTAAGATGTTCAAGCCACTGGCAGTTTTAATGGAACAAAAGGAGCAGCAACGTTTCGACCTGCTAAGAGGTCTTTGTCAAACACCTCTTAGCAGGTCGAAACGTTGCTGCTCCTTTATGTTCCATTAAAACTGCCAGTGGCTTGAACACCTTGAGTGCCTGGAGAATTTCTTGTGTTGCCTTATCGTTGTGAGATTGCTGATCCTGCTCCAGAGCACCAGGTGGCTGCTGGGATTGAGTGTGACTCCTATTATCACTTTTACAATATAGATTGTCAATAGACACCCAATGATTTCCTGTAAGAATGCATTGGATTGGCTGAGATTGTCACTTTTGATGATCTCAGTCATGAAGGTGGAGCAGGGGCGGAGCCAGCTGCGATGAGACCGGTGTAGTGCTGTAAATAAGGTGAGTAAAATAACTTTAATGGGAGGCAAGGTGGGGAAGGAGAAGTAAAATGTGTTTTTACAACTATAGTGTCAGAAATACATGTTTATATCCCTGGCACTATAGTGTTCCTTTAAAAAGAAGCTATTACAAAAAAGAGACTTGCGTCCATCAAGTTCAGCCTTCCTCACATTTGTTTTTTGCTGTTGATCCAAAAGAAGGCAACCCCCCCGTTTGAAGCACTTCCAATTTTGCAACAAATTAGGAAAAAAAATCATTCATGACCCCAGAATGGCAGTCAGATTTATCCTTGGATCAAGAAGCTATTTCCCTACATTGAAAAACTATATCCTTGAATATTCTGTTTTTTGCAAGTATGCATCTATGATGCTGAAAAAACCCTCAAAGTGTTTGCTACAGCAGCAAACACAGTGTGTGGCATTTTTAAAATTGATAAATCACACGCCTGCCTGTGCTGTGTTAGTGTAAAATAGAACCAAGTACAACTGAGGCTCAAAAAATGAAAATATAAATATTTATTTTAAGTCATAGTAAAAATCAAAGAATATGACATAGTAACATTCACTGTGTTTTGCACTACTTAAAGTAGTATAATGAAAGAGTCATAAAAACAATGCTTAACTGTATAAATATGCATTAAAAATGCATGCCAATCATTACTGATCAGCTAAATTGTTAGGGTTAATAAATAGGGGGGCATATAGAAATTACAGGGAATAGAGTGCTTTCTTCTGTTTTCTGACACATACCAACTAAGTTTAACTATGTATTAATGATGGGTTTTCAGTAAAGAACGATTAGCTGCCTGTTGATTCTTAGCAAAGTTGGCATATATGTGTGTTCTGGCATGAATATAAAAATAATATTTTGGAAATTTACCTTAACGTACAAAACTTTTGTAATTTCACAACTAGCCAAATCCCTGGCTGTGCCCTTACTGGACTTTCTGTCTGTGCCTTCTACGTGATTGTATTGTAACAGGATGAGTTTATGACTGTTATGCATATTTACCGCTATGGGGCAGTAGAGATTTGTACTGCAGCAGAACATCCCCCCCAAAAAAATAGCAGATGCTGCGGAAGTCTGTGAGTGTGAACACATAACTTGCACACAAAAAAATATATAAATTAGCAACAACAAAAAAATAAATAAATAAAAAAAGCTAAATAAAAAAATGAAGGTCTGTTTGAGCCAATGAATGAGATAGAGGAAAAGCACATGCTCAAAAGGGAGGGGAGCACCAGGCAGTTATATTGCACCATTTACACGGACCATGATAGCTGCAGTATATATACACAGAAACTCTAAGTACCAGCTAGGCATGTTAGCATAGATCAAGCTAAATGAATCCACTACATGTCTCTCGACAATGTGTGTTTCTGGTGACTGTAGGTGAGTTGCCATCAGGCAGTAGCTATTAGAAATAAAATAATGCATTTCAAAAGATACAAATCATTTGTCTTGATGTCACACTCCCGTTATAATTGCAGCGCATGTTTTGTTCTGTGAACCACAAACCATCTTCTAGAATCTAGGAATCTTGTAAGGCAAAAAAAAAAAAAAAAGAAGCCTTCTGTGCACCAATCAGAAAATGAATAGACAGGTGATGACCACTACATTGCAGTAGATGCCTTGTCAAACCTCAACCAGATCCCATGCTATGCATGGACTAAATCCTGTGTCATAGCTCAGCAATCTGAGCTATCTGTACTGCAGGACCACAGACAGACGCCATCCCAGACCTAAAAAAAACTATTTCTCATTCATCTCATTCTTATCTTTATTCCATATTAAAAGCCATATCCCATCACATAGCACAACCAGATCCCATTCCATGCCATCAGCAAAATCCATTCCATACCACAACCAGACCTCACTCCACACCACAAAGACCAACGCATAGCTCCAGGTTTTGCCCTGGAGAAAACAGCCATTCAGATACAAAGTATATCCACATGCACACATCGTTACTGAAATCCACGAATGATAAGGAACTTAGCCCCCAAATAAAAATAAATGACAGTCTTTGTCCATCACCAGATGCCCAGCTCCCCCAATTTCATTCTCTATCCACCTCTAATGGGACATCTCCCCAAGTTCACCAGAATCATGCTGCTTCTGCTGCTGGTCACCATACAGGGTTTGCTACACATTTTCGGTGATTTCTCCCTGCACTCTCTCACTCCTGTGCCTCCACCTCCTGAGATACTTGTCTTCTTCTCTCCATCTAGCCCAGGACTTCCAATGCGTCTGATTGAACGATCTCAGAGCCAGTGGCTTGTGCAAGTTGGTCCCCTGTAAAGATGGGTTCGCACATCTCTTAGAAGGAGCACTTAGGCTGTGTGAGGAGGGAGGAGGGAGGAGGGGGAGGGAGGCTGATTGTGTCTGCTTAAAGTCCTGAAAGGTCAATAAATTATCCCTGCATATCTATCCTGCACGTAAAATCATTAACCCTGTCAGTTCCTCAGAAAGCATTGCTTTTTAGTATCCTTATGTGGCTAAAAGGTAATTTCACAAACACTTCACATGACATATTTGGACTCAAAGGGTTAGTGTATGCACACTTTTACTGATGTTTGTCTGTATTAACACTTTCATTCCAAAAGCAATCACAGCATTGTATTGTCCCCATGAGACTGAAATGGTTAATACATGACTACTTCACAGGCCATTTCTGGGACCGAAAGGGTTAACACATACACACTTTCATTGATATGTGTCTTTATTAACACTTTCAATTCCACAAGAATCACTACATTTTATCATCCCCATAGCCAAACTGAAAAAGGGGTGCACTCACAGGTTTTGTGAATTGTGAGTTTCTTGTACAAAGAAAAACACAACCGCAAGACCCATGAGTGCACCCCTTTTCAGTTTGGATAATATATATATATGTGTAATTAATGATATCTCTGTTATTTCAGGTGTGGGCATACACAGAGTGTATGTATAGTTGTGTGGCATAACCTGCTCATGGGACCTCAAATATCCAAACATTACAGGTAATATATTATTACAGTACAGATGTATTACCTACAATTTGTGTTTCCCTGAGGTCCTAAGAATGGGGTAGCATACCCGGCTATGTATGCACTCTGCATTTTCTCAGTATATGTGTATAAATGTGTGAAATATGGTGGGGTGAAGAGAGGGGTAATATAAAGTTACAACACACCAGCACATCTGTATATACTGTAATAATGCATTATCTGTAATTTTTGTTTTTTGAGGTCCCATGAGCAGGTTAGGTCATCCAGCTACACATTAATTAATTGCACCGGTACAAAATACTTTTTATATATCCAGAAATTGTGAATGAACAAGATAATCTAGATATTAGGCCTCTTGTACTAGGGCAACTACATTTTGCTTACTTTCTAACATTTATCCTTTGTAGTGGTAGAGGGATTGTTTGCTGCTTTGTTGCATCTTATTCTCTTTGACGATTAGCAATTCACTAATTTTTTTAAATCATGATATAAATATACAGATTATATATATATATATACACACACACACACACCGATTAATAAATATGCATACCATCAGAAGTCTGTATATATTAACCCTTTCAATCCCGAGACGTCATGTGACATGGTCATATTTTAACCCTTACAGTCCCAGAGGGATGATGAAAGGTGTTTATTTATGTGGGACTGAAAGGGTTAATCAATACACATAAGTTAAGAATATATGAATGTTTTACTTGCTGGTGGTGATAACGCATAGTAAAAGAGGGCAAATTTATGGTAATATGTGTTTAGAAATAAATCCAGAATTGTTTTTTATAAATTGTAAAGGACATTACTGCTTTTTGCAGGAGAATGAGTTAAGGATTTTACATGCAGTGGAGATAAGCAGAGGTGATTTATTAACCTTTTAGGACTTTCAGCAACCATATTCAGGCTCCCTCCTCCCTCCTTATACAGCCTCATGCAGCCTGCATGCGCGTTCCCGAGAGATGTGGTAACACATCTTTACAGGATGACGCAGAAGAGCGAGCTCCCCCCAAAAAGTGTTCCAGGACGAAGATGGCGGCAACTTAGCACAGGACCAAGATGACTGTGGTGGCCATCAGGAGGCAAAACCCAGGGTATTCCGCCCAGTTTGCAAAGGAAAAGACGCCCGGCTGAAACGTGTAACAGCATCAAGCAGCATCAGGCAGGCATCAAGCAGGCATCAGGCAGGCATCAAGCAGGCATCAGGCAAGCATCAGGCAGGCATCAAGCAGGCATCAGGCAGGCAGCAACAAGCAGTCATCAAGCAGGCATCAGGCAGGCAGCAACAAGCAGTGTGATCTGCAGAGATCTGTCTCAGGCTCATCAGGGAGAGGAAGGGGAAAGGCTGATGAAAGTGCTTTGCGGAAAAGGAGCGCTATCCACACGGAGTAGAGGAAGAGGAGAGACATGCAGCAGTCAGTGGGAAGTAGGATTTTCTCAGGAGTGCTATGGATAACCGTGATCTGACAATGCCTGGCTTTATCGCTCTATTTCCCTTTATTGGATGGATATAGCTAAGCAGCAGCAGCACTGCAAGAAGTCACATCCTGCCGTAGGCAAACCCTGTGTAAGGGGGGAGCACCAGGAAAGATAAGGGAAGACAGAAAAGAAAGAAAAAGATATAAGGCAATCCATCCTCAAGTCAATGAATATTGTGGTGACACTGGCAAAGGAGCCCTCACGGTGGAGTCAGCCAGGGCAGTGCGTTCCCAAAATATGACCAGGGGTGCTTGGATGTGTCGGCAGTATGACGATGACAGCTTAAAAATCTGGTTTGCACCCCGGGAGAACGAAAAACCTTTTACTGATTCAGAGAGGGCTCAGAAATGGCGACTGTCTTTAGCATCGCTCTTGTTTTTCACAGTTCTTCTCTCTGATCATTTGTGGTTCTGCGCTGAGGCCAAATTGACAAGGACCAGGGATAAGGAGCAGGGCACCTCATTGTCACCTAGTATGGCTGGTCCATTCCCATCAGTGGAAGGACACACTTTGTCACCCACCCTTCCATCCACTCAACAGGAGAGCCTTAGCCAAGGCAAAAAAGCTATTTTTCTAGGAAATTCTACCAAACCTTGGTGGAGGCTGGATACCTGTTCCCCACAATACAGTGGTGGTCGTCCATCTGGTCAGTGTTTTAGTGTGGATGATGCTGACTCTGTTTGCAGGAACTTAAGTGAGGGGGCCACCAACCACTACCACCACCACTACCACCACCACCACCACCATCAGCAGCCTGCTCACTCCAACTTGAGAAATTTTTACCTTTCCTTTTGTAATTCCTATACACTTTGGGATTTGTTTTCTGGGTTCTCCAATCCGGACACTTACAACTGTGGTAGGGAGGTGGTGCAGAATGGGGATGTATCCAGCTGCAGGAAGTGTATCCAAGCCTACCAGACCTACGACCGGCATGCTCAGGAGAAATATGAAGAGTTTGAGGTTTTGCTGCAGAAATATTTACAATCGGATGAGTATTCTGTGAGGTCTTGTTCTGAAGACTGCAAGGTAGGAATCTAGGTTTGCTATGTTTTTCTGTTTGGCTGAGGGAGGTCTTCTCTCTCCATCACTTTCTTGGTTTTGGGCACACAGGTGTTGTTAGTACCACAGGTGGACTGACAACTGGTGCCCACCTCTGGAGAAACTAATTATGTCTGCCTATGTTTCACTTCAACCCTGAGATATGTTATATCACTAATAAAGAGTTTGTCCGAAGCAATGCTCTCAATACAGTCCATCTCAATGAGGCTTATCTTTTGGCCTGAACACCCTTGATAATAACCTGAGAATTTTATGGCTCTGACAATTGATGCATCTTGCCTTGCTAAGCAACATATACTGGGTTATACCATGATTTCTGCATTTAGTGCTGTTTTGTAAGATGATGTTATCATGAATACATTTGGTGGTGCTGATGTGTGACATGTGGAACTTTGATGCAATATGGTGCACGAGAGGCACTTTTAACTCAGTGAATACAAAAGAGATGGCATTTAGTGAGTGATAAGCAATGGTTCACCTTCTGTGACACTCGAACATTAACCATGACATTTTTTTGGTGTATATATGCTTTGATTTGTACGTGGCATATATGTCAACTCACTGGTGGTAAAAAAAAATGGAATGCAATATATTTATTTAATTAAGAGCCACATAACAATGTGATACGACAGGTATTGGTGGGGCTCAGCAATCCAGAGCCACATGATGAATACAAATGTGGTATTGCAGTCAATTTGAAGTGGGTGCAGTTCTGGGCTCTAGCTGTCATGTACCTGACCTTAGATCCTTCATTATTAAGCACAGGCAACTCCAGGATGTGCGATGTTCAGAGTGATCAGGCATAGGTCTCTGGAAAAATACATATCACAGTGTATGTAGCTCAAGGACTCTAGATTTACAGCTGAGTGGATTTACAGTAAACAGACACTGCAAGGGACGGTGACTGAATTTCAAAAAGCTTGCTTACTTATGGCAATATCCAGTGGGAGCTGTGCTAATCAAGTTTATTTTGATAGCCGCTGTCACCTATCAAGATATTTGATGCTGTTACAATGATTGACACATGAAGTGAATGTATAGAGCAAACAACTGCAGTATTGTGGATGGGGTTCATTTCATGCAGATTTCCTTTGTATACATGTTGTTTTGGAGGGGAGGTTATTTCAGATAAGAGACATGCTCATACCTTTCATTTTAGATCTGAGGCCACACATTATGTATCTAACAAATGTAAAAGTCATTTCATTGAATAATTTCATATTTAGGATGTTTGGCATTTTTTATTCTAAAATGATCCCCTCTGTGCCAAGCGTGTACCGAACAGGGTTTGCATAGTGCTCTAGAATCTGAAAGGTTAACACATCATTCCACGTGTATACACAGTGGATCGCAGTATTACATAGCATGTTATTATGTATGCACACATGCACGCGCCTATAAGGTGGCTTCTACATGATATACCAACCTCCATGCAGTCTGAAATATTACCACTAAATAACTATGAGCCATCAAAATGCTCATAAATATATCTGGAAAATTGATTTTTCTTATAATTACCAGTGCAAATAAGCAGTATATCCAGTCTCTGTGTGAATATATTGTTTGCATCAAGGCCTGCTTACTGAATAGGTTTCATAGCATCTGTGTAAAATCTGGCTCATATCAGATATCTAGTTAATAAATCCTCATGTGGTCATGATGTATAGCTTGGTGTATAACTGTGTTATATAAATCATTGCAGTGTATTTGTTTGTTCATTATGCCCACATTCAATCCAAAGTGTATACTGATGAATTGGTGATATGTGAT